GCATGCCCTGATCGACTTGCTTCAGGCCTTTCACAGAAGCTGTCGCGGTCTGATCTCAAGGGTGCTTTATAGTTTCCTGGTCAGTGACGTCACCCGACGTCCTACTCTCTCATTGGACTGATTGTACAGACGCTTCACGACGCAATCACGCAGAGCGTTCCCATCGCGTTTGACAACGCAGCTCTCGTTCCCTCTTTTAGGGAACCAGGGTTACATACGTAACCTGAGACGATTTTGTTTTTTTGTTGTTGTTGTTTTTTTAGTTTTATTTAACAATTTTAATTTTATTGAACAATCACAACACTGACTGAGATTGTATAACGGTCTCATCCTGTTTTGGTTTCAATTTCATTATTTATTTTCCGTTTTCCTGTTCCTGTTTCATTCATTGTTTGTTGCCATGGTTTCTGATTTGAGTTATAACACTTGTTCCATGTGTATTTAAGCCCTTGGTTCATTCTGTTCACATTGCTGTGTTGTCTTTATTTACTGTCTGGAATATGCTCACTGGGGACATTAAACTTGACTTGAATTGACATACTTCAATTCAAAATTAAAAATTAAATTAAACTTATATTTAATTATATAACTTTTATTGGACCTTGGGATTCTGTGATAGCTGCTCCTGTGGATATAATATTTTAATAAAGTACTCCAAATCCTTGTTGACACATCATAACATGTCAAAGTGAACTGCTGAACTCCTGCGTTGATGTTCAGAGTGAGTACTGTGAGTCGTCCAGTTTATTTTGATCTATATGAAAGTGAACAGGCAGGGCTGGACTGCAGGCTGAGTCATTAGAGTCCATCCATAGACTCGTCCTGCGGCAGGCATTGTTTTAAGAGCCAGAAGTCTTATAGGCTTCATCTTTGTGGCAGTAACCAGCTTTTTCCTGAGAAGTGTATAGTATGTTTAATGCGTTATATAATTCAGGCCGAAGCGATAAAAAGTTTGACTAATGATTAAAAAAAAAAAAAAAAAAAAATTAGTCCAGTTCTGAATTAGCAATGAAATGAAACTGTCATGTCAACAGTGTTGCCTGATTTGAGAACAAATAATGAATAAGCTCAGTTGAATTCCTGCTACAGTCTAATGTGAGACCATCAAGCTTAAATGAAATTACAGTAATCGGATAGTCTTTGGAAATCATATATTCTTCTCATGCAGGCACATTTCTAAAGAGGATTACTGCTTAATGTCACTATGAGCCCATCACACACCCGATGAATAACTGCAAGTAGTAAACAGCGAATCTCTCCTCACCACCTGAAAGACATGAGGTATAGCAGAAGGCTTGTCTTTCGGATCATCGGAGTGAGATGAAAATGTCATGCTTTTGTGTTCTCAGGATTTTTCTAATATTGCTGGACTGATGCCTCAGCTGTCTTTTTGCCAGCACAGCATGGATTCAGAATCCTGCACCGCATGCTTGTCACTCACTCTTTTGCAGTCCCAAATAACAACAGGATCATGCAGAGCTATTATGAGCAATTATGTGTACCCCAGAGCTAAGCCAGAAGCTACTGTTCCTCATCTGCAGAGTTAATCTCTGCACTTCTGGATCATGCCAAACAGAGTAGGAGTGAAGACTTAGACCTTTTCAGGCTCCACTCTTCTGCTTCATCTTTCATCTGCATGAAGGAAATAGTATGCTATTACAAAAGCGCTACATTTTACTAACATTTTAGTTAGTTAGTTGTTGCTTTGAATTATGGTTTAATTGGTAACACTTCACAATACGGGTGCACTAATATTAATTTATACTTTACTAATACACAGATAAACCAAAATAATTATTACTGCATCAGCAACTAAGAAAGAGTATACATGATTCATAGATTAAGTAATAAATTAATTGCTATTCATTTAACGTGTCATGATGTATTAATTCCTTAATAACATATTTTCTTAACTAATAGTGTAAATGAATGTGTTAATTGCACAATTAGTCAAAGCTACTGTATGCACTTCAACCTCCAGTTGTCAGCTTTAATTAATCATTAGCTATTGATTTGCAATGTTATGACTTTACTTGTTGAGGCATGACTATTAACTAATTGTTAAGTAATGTCATTATGGTTATGGGTTTTGTCATCCCCTCTAAAGCTCTGTGGGGCAGTAGCACATGCAGTGAGTGTAATAGAGGGTTTGAAGGATGGGTAAGTTGGGCCGCACACAAATCAGCACAACAGAAACACCGTGTTTAAACTGGACTATTGCAGCTGTCTACACTGGACATGGCAGACCATTGCTATCCCATTTGTCCTTAATAACAGTAGTAGTACAAGAGCTCATAGTACGTCAGAAATAGAGTGAGCCATGCAGTTTACTGTCGGGGTTGTGTCTTGTAGCATTGTGTTGCATCCAGTGTTGTATCACTGATTATAATGGGTTCTTGTTTATTTGTCCTGTCCAGACACAGTGTTGTGAAATAGCAGAGCCTGGCCGCATATTCTCAGTGTTCATCCTTTAAATCCTAGAGCTCAAGCTTAACCTGACACATTCCTGTGCCATGAACTGTTGGATGCGACAGTTCATCTGGCACAGTGAAATCCCGGTTGTAGAAGGCGGGAAATTGAAATCCATAGTGTGGATGTCAAAACCAAAATTACATATTATTTAACAATTAGTTAATAGTCATATGCCTCAACAAGTAAAGTCATAACATAATGATACCTTTTCAAATCAAATGATTAATTAAAGCAGACAACTGGAAGTTGATGTGCTTTGCCTAAGGTAATTAACACATTAAAGGGTTAGTTCACCCAAAAATGAAAATTCTGTCAGTATTTACTCGCCCTCAAGTTGTTCCAAACCTCTATGAGTTTATTTGTTCTGCTGAACACAAAGGAAGATATTTGGAAGAATGTTGTAATCAAACAGATCTCAGTCCCCATTGACTACCATAGTAGGAAAAAATACATACTGTACTATGGTAGTCAATGGGGATTGAGATCTGTTTGATTAAAAAATTCTTCCAAATATCTTCCTTTGTGTTCAGCAGAACAAATAAACACATAGAAGTTTGGAACAACATGAGGGTGAGTAAATACTGACAGAATTTTCATTTTTGGGTGAACTAACCCTTTAATTTACACTATTAGTTTATAAAATATGTTATTAAGGAATGGTGCTACTTCCAAAATCATTCTTCTCCTTTTTCCCATCGCATATTAGTTATGTCTGTCCTGTATCCGTTTTCCTGAGTTTCCTCCCATCATTGTGTATTTGGTTCAGTCCTTCCCAGTTTTCCCACTCCTCGTTTGTGTTCAGTTCATTCACCTGTGTTTAGTTAGTTTGCCCCAGCTGTGCCTTGTTTCCCTAATCTGTTCTCTGTGTATTTAAACCCTCCCTACATCCCAATTCGCCTACTTATACTATGCCCCTAAAAGCATGTACTCTTTTTGTGAAGAAAAAGTAAAAGAGTAGGCAAGCTTTGGGACATACTACTGCGTCATCTTTAACGGACCGCTCTGTCGCATGCATCCTATCACCATAAACTGCCCTGTCACAGATAAAATCCTCATGCGGAGACTCACCTCATGTGTTTGCAATTTGAATATAATGATGCATTTAAAAGAAACGTATTTTTACAAAAGTTCACAATGCTTCTGCAGATGCAATATAATAATGTAGCCAACATTGAATAAATACATTTTCGTCAGGCTTGATACTGAACCGATAATTAATCACTTAAACCCCTTTATCTAAACATCTCTTCACAACCGGCGGACTCGTGCGTCTTCCATGTCTGTAGTTTTTTAACACTTTTTACTCAAGTTTGTAGTTCTAACCGAAATCCTCGTCCAGCGCGCGATGGGTTGTGGGCATTAACAGCCGTTAGAGTGTGCATCGATCTGCACTTCGGATTCTGACCGGATATGGTAGACCATCCGGGTCTCTTTGGAACACTCATTTCAACATACTACGATTTGGGAGGTACTAATTCTATTTTCGAATAATATTTAGTATGCGAATTGGGATTCAGCACCTGTGTTCTCCCTTCTCGTATATGGATAGTGTGGTTTATCCTAAGATTTTGTTAATTCAATTCCTGTTTCCTGGTATTCCTCATCTCCGCATGCTTCTTATCACCACGAACTGTAGCTTCAGCTTTCAGAGGCATTATTATTAGAAAATTTAAGAAAATAGTACCTGCCAATATTTGCTGTAATAGCATATCTTCTACTTAGCTGCTGCCATACTGTATAATTAACATAAAATAAAAAAACTCAATAAAAGACTTGTCCACTTGTCTGAGACCACAGTGAACATTTGGGATTCAAAATCTATCTTAAGCCTGGAAATTAAGAAATCAAAAATGTTATGACCACGCAGAACATACAATGACCTTGCAATGCCATGGAAACCCAATTTCGCACAGGCAAATACATCTCACATTTTCTTGTAAACATGTTTCTTGTAAGAACATGTAGTTTTACTATGAGATGGTTTGAAAAAAAGAGTAAATAGATCAAAAGTGCAGACATCTCCTTTAACTGTAATGTGTTAATTCATATGAATATTTATGTCATCCTTCCCTAATTAGACCCGCTACACATCACACCCAGACACCTCTACTCTCTTGATCACGACAGCCGCCAGTGTCATGAAGAGAACCTCCATAAAGAGAATAGAGCAGCAGCTCTAAGAAGAGAGAGAGAGAGAGAGAGAGAGAGAGAGACATCTAATATTAATGTCTGTATATACAGTATGAAAGTGTTCCAGGTAACCGCATCTAATCACTTCTGAAACTGATTGGACCCTTCAAAGCACAGCAAGCGCTTTTGATATGTGTCTGTGTTTGTTCCAAAACCCACCCACTCCTTCATTAAACATCACGTCTCGAGTGAGGATTTGCTTCTTAAATTTTCATTAAATGGAATATGGCCTGAAGACTCAGACACACTAATACCACACACATAAGAGCATTGAGACTGACTCTTCTGTCACAGTGAGAAACTGGGCGTGAAAGTGTTTATCTGGGGCTTTGGGATTATCATTGAGCAAATTACCACTGATCCAGCAGAGGGTCTCAGGCAGACTGTGTGGTTCTGGCAGGGACTGGAGACTAGCTCTCTCTGGGGTTTAAGAAGGATGGAAGAAACGAGGGGCAAATGATTGTATACTTCATTTCGATGTGACATATGTACTCTATTCTTAATGGCTCATTATTGATTCTTCCTTTTTGATATTACGCCCCTCCCCTTTTTTTCCTGTGGAGTATCTTTTGTGTGTTTTGTTTGAGAGTGGTGGCTCATGCTGAAAGAGGCAGAGAGCACTTCTCCCAGGAGGATTCATCTCACTTCCAGCCCTGAGTGACTTTTTCCTCCAGCTGCACCAATGACTCTCAATACACGCCTGCTACACGGATATGGACTGTATTATTTCTTGGCATTGTTGACACTTTTGACGTCACAAGGTAGGTGTATGTGTATGTTTGTACAAAACTATATACTATTTCTTTGTCTTTAGATTTTTTGCCAGTCAAAAAAAATGGTTGTGATTAAAACAAGGGGGGGAAAAAACTATTGGGCAAGAGAAATAAGCTCATGCAATATTCCATTCAATTAAGGTTTTTTGTGTTATATAGCAAATGATTGATGCCCTTTTTCTTTGAGCAACCTGACCAATAAACTTGCTTGGTGACCTCTTTCATTGAACACAAGAATCAATGAAACACGCATTTTGTATTTGACACATATTACACTAGAATTCTGACTCAAATGTATCGGAGCTATATTCTGATGTCAAATGTATCTATACAACAGTAATGAATTCAGATATGCTTTCAGTGTTGAATCCTAAAGCTCACTAGCCTCATTTAGATCTAATCTTACATGCAAATGAAACATTTCTGTCTGAACGGATTCCAGTGAGGGGGTTATATAAAGTGAGCCACCACCACCAGATGAACTTTGCCTTTTGAAAAGGACATGGAGATCACATACCAGAAATCATAAATTACCATACACGAGAAAAGCCAATAACCTGTCAGAAACTGCACACATTATGCAGATTTCTACTGAATAGTCTCAAAGCACTATGTCAGACAGATCGCATGTCACCTCAAATCATTCAAAAGATTAGTGGGACTCAATAGTTGCATCAATAATGCATGCAAGTGAATGCTTTTCGTTGTTGATGTAAATGATTTACTTTTTCAAAGCATTTCATTAATAACATGCAATGTACTGCCTTTTCCACATAACATTATCAAAGTGGAACAGTACATTAGCCTAACAACCACCTGTCAAAGTGTAGCCAGAGGCACTGTGCAGCTAAACCCATGTGTATCAAGAGCGGGGTTCTAAGCACATGGCTGAGTGACTTAAAATCTCAGGGCTAAATTCAATCTCAGTCGCTATAACCTCATCCATGTTTGATCTGAAGCCACAGTGGGGGCGAAATCATTGAGAAAATATATTTCTGTACATTTACTTTGAATTTGGATAATTTTGGAATACAGTAGGCTGCTTTTTTTAAAATTATTATTAGTATTCTCCACAACTCTGATAAAAACAAATATCTGCTTTCTGCTTTATAGTTGATGGGCTGCAGTGTTATGCCTGTAACATTGTGCATAACCAGAGGTATGTGGATGTAGGCTGCTCCAGCCCTGAAGTCATCACCTGCTCCCACTCTCACAAGGGCTTCAAGCATCGCTTCTGCATCAGGACAGAAAGTGGTAAGAAAATATCGCCCTTGACCACAACCACCCACCAGCAACAATCAGAAATGGCTGCCTGGTTTTCTTTGGCAGAGGCAGACATTTTATGAGCATCATTTGCTTTGGAGAAAAATGCATCATGGTCGTTTTGGGTGACAATTTGGTGACAATCATCAAACTCATGGTGAAGATTTCTGAAATCCTTTGAGCAACAGAACTCCAGCAGAGACACCTTAATCCTCCTTGTGAGACTCTCTGCGTGTAATTGTCATCACACTTTGGCAGTGTAAGGAGCATTAGAGGCGGATGATCACTCCTCAGAAAAGATTAACTGAAGGTAGTGATCATAGTGTTCCCTGCCCCCCATCTAATTAACCTGATTTAACCCATACACCACCTTCATCTCCAAATCAAACATAAAAACCTTCATTTGCTTTGAATGTGTAATACATTGATTTCATAGACTGCAGGTTCCTTATTTGGCATTTAACCTTTAGCATCCATGGAACCCTTCCATAAATCAAAAGGTTCTTTATAGTGAAAAAAAGCTTCTTAAGATCATTAAAATATTCTTCACACTAAGGAAAAAATGGTTCTTTTTAAGAAATGTTCACTGAAAGTTTAATTCTTTGGGGAACCAAAAATGCTTATTCTATAGTCTTACTGCAAAAACTGCATTTTGGAGCCTCTATTTTTAAGAGTGATGCTTGAGGCTTCCAGCACAAATTTCAGATATCATTGCTTGAGCGAAATTCTTTGTAACATGAAAACCTAACGCATTTCTGATCCAAATGGCATTGACAGAACACAGCCAGACTCTCATACAGACAATCCTCCAGATAGGTGACAGACCTGCACAGTCGAATTGATAAGGCTGATAAGAGCATTTAGACAGCGATCATCAGGGATTTCTCTCTCTCTCTCGTGTTGGATCATCAGCCAGCCGTAATCCTCCAGAGTTATCCACTTTCACAAGTTGAGCCAGCTCTGCCTCCCTCCACAGCTCAGCATGCCTCAAATACAATACTTGTCACGACAGCGCTGATCAAGTGCTCATGCCACTTGTTTTACTGTAGTGTATGGCCAGATATTATGATTTTAGTTAAAGGTATGCTCTAGCCTTACAATTAGATAGACTCTAACAACAGTTTCTGTGTCATGTAGTTGATTGAGACTTGCAATAATTACGACTCATCAGTGGTAAAAAAGAACTTACAATGGAAGTCTTTGTAGAGTCTGCTTGTATTTTTTGTTGTAACAAATACAGGCTACTGATTCCTCACTATGAAACTAACTCCTGTGGGTAGATTTGTTTCTATGTAAACAGTCCCTTGGTCTCCTTGAATATATCATGTGAATTTGGCAGGAATTGATATTGGGAGAGGGAGAGGGGAGATGAGATCTCCTCAATTCAAACCAATAAACCTTTAAGCTTCTCCAGAGTTTGGGTCCAAAGCCTTATGGTGACCTCTCTTGCACCATGAATGTGCACAGTGAATAATTTGAGATATACCACATATTGCTGGCAACCAATATTGCTTATTCAGAGAGTGTGAGGGCATCCATCTTGTTGCCACTATTTTCTTGGCAGCTGTTAATCCAGCTAAAACATTTTGTTAAGTTGGATATATTTTAGAATAAAAACAGATGGAGATAAAGTGACCAAAACATTTAATATTGTGGACAAATTAACTTGAACCATATTCCAAAAATATACAACCCCAGGGCATTCCCAGATCATGTGATAAAAACGATCAATTTCCTCTGTATGGCACAGTGTACAATTTGGTTCAGGTTTAAGCTTCATGCTGTAGAGTTTTAGGTCTTTTGAATGAAGTTTAAATGGATGTGTTCATGGTCAAGATTCTTAGATGCATGCATCATCATGTCCCAGACACTGTCCCTATCAAAACTGGGGGCAAGGTCAGGAATATCAGCCTGCCAGGCAGAATTTATTGTCAAAGGGGGATACATGTTTTCAAGAATATAAGAGTACAATTTAGAGACAAATCCTCTTGTTCCATAAATCTCATATAATAAATTTAGCTGATTTTTAAGGGAAGCCATCCAAGGGACCTCATAGGCTTTCATGGCTGCCCTCAACTGTAAGTAAAGAAAAGGTGGAGCTTTTGCAGGTAAAACTGAATGGAAAGTTCTTCATAGGTACAGGCTGCCTTGTCAATGAACCTCCACATGTTAAGGAAGCATTAACATGTGAAGGTTCATTGAGAGTGTTAGCATCTCCTGAATTGATTGTGGTGATTTCTTTGGTTTACTGGACCTCAATCTAAGGGCAAGTAAACGGTTGGGTCTAGCCTCGTTAAAATAATACAATCGACACATTCTATGAATTAATAATTGCTATATCCTCATCAAAACTTTGTTATAAACCATCTAATGATGAAAGTCTAGACTCTAAATTATGTCATCCAGAGACTTCCTTGTGTTGGAAGCATTGCGTACAGCAAAATCCCAGCGTCCCAGAGTATCCTTGGGTAATACAATGAACCCTTATTTATTTCAACAAAGTCCATTAGTTGACCTGAACATTAAATGCTTTGTTTTAAATGCTTTTTCATGAAGAGGCATGGTGTTAAAATGCCATCTAGGGGCCCAAGCTGGTTTAGAATTGATCACCATCTATTTATCTCTATCTTATTTATTGCTATCTGCCCAAAAACTATAATTCTGTTAGTAATTACTCACCCTCATGTTGTTCCAACCCCATAAGACTTTCGTTCACCTTCGGAACACAAATTAAGATATTTTTGATGAAATCTGAGAGCTGCCTCACTCCTTCATAGGTTACTATTGCATTTGCCAGCCCAGGAAAGTTAGTAAAGACATTGTTAAAATAGTCAGAGTTACTACAGTGGCTCTGTCACAGTTGTGTTATGTTTAGTTTGTTTTCATTGGACTTGTCTGCCCTTCTTCTGACGTCACATGTCATCATCATTATCAGTTCATCTGTATCACCTGTGTTTAGTTAATCATGAGATGGGTAAAGGCGGGCATGCACTGTGCGATTTTCGTCCGATTTTGAGCCGAATTCTGACTCGTGCGACTCATTTTCGTGTCGGACCGATTTTCAGCTTTGTCGTGCGTCAGTTGTCGTGCAGTGTTCGTGCAGTGTACAGGGAGAAACGAGAGGCGATTAACCTCTCACGATCGACAATCGGATGGTCGGATGAATTTCTGGCATGTCAGAAATTTTGGTCGCTCCTCGTGACTATATCGCACAGTTGAAGCAAAGCTACGAACCGATTGCCCTAAACTCAGTGTTTTTTCCCTCACTGCACCTGCGCGAAAACAGAAGTTTAACCATTTCATCTGCAGCAAAAATAAAATTAAAATAAAAACGAGCTATAAATTACTGTTGCTTATACCTCCAGTTCGTGTTGCAAAATGGATAATATTACCCACCGTCTTCCAAGCCACCTGCAATGTAACACCTCTTTTATTATTTTGTCAAACAATGTTTTTGAAATAAACCTGTTTTTAATTTTCATTGATGATTAATAATGGCAATGTTCGGACATATTATAGACTGTTAATAGTTATTTTATATATAATTCATTTTAATCGACCTAAATGTTTTAGACAATTTTTAATGAGGAGTAAGATTAATATTTTATTATCCTCACAGCACGTTGGTTATGTGCTGTGAAAATATTGCGTGGCAAATTAATTATAATAGCGGATCAATTTAATAGTAAAATAGGCCTCCCCTAATAATGATAATATAATAATAATAATAATTAAATGCATAAATTGAAAATACTAAATCATCTTGATACTGATAGCAGATGCTTGTTTTGACAATATCTCTGGATACATACACGTAAATAGGCGCAATCCAGGGGGTTATCGCAGATATTACACGTATAGTGTGAGCAGTGAAGTCGCAGCTCGACGATCGGACCGTACAGTGTGAGCACATAAATCCTGAACTTTGGCTTTGCATCGCATGCGATTTACTCGTTCAGTGTGAGTAGGTACCTTGCTGAAATCGCACAGACATCGCACAGTGTATGCCCGCCTTAAGGGAACTTTAAACTCCAGTCCTGGCCAAAGTAAACCAGTTTTGACTATATAAATACAAAATCAAACAAGGTGAAGAGCAAAAACCTCAGCCGTTTACTTGAGGAAAAATAACCACCTGCTATCTATCCTAACAAACACTGAAACGAAAGGCTTCACAGCAAACAAAGATAACATGAGAAAACTCTCCCTATTCTCATAAATACCAAGCATTATCACCATTGTTAAGCTAAACATAAATGAGTTCATATTCATAAAATGAAAGGTCTTTGAGAAAGATACCAAACACTCGTCGTTAAGCTAAACAAACAAGTTCACATATTACCATCCATATAAGCTTTGGCATCTTTTGGCTCTTTGAAAGTCTTCTGAATGCTTTTTTGCCCTAAAGATCAACACGGCTGGGAAACGGCCTTTCTTAATGCACCAACTGCTGGGGAAATGTCAGGAGCGATGCAGAGAATCTTACCCTCGAATTGGAGCTGTCCTTGCAGTCAGAATCATAGAAAAGTCTCTGGAGCAATGAATCTTGATGATAACCAGGCAAGGGTGGCGTTCAAGCCCCCGGTGAGTACGGCCAATTGCGATACAATTGCGAAATGAGTCTTGCAACTCCAGCAGTTTCGGAATGAAAGCTTAGTTTTTGCTTTATCATATTTTTATCATAAACAGTGGCCAAATACTGAAGCTGGAATCTTTAATCTTTCTAATGATACTCAGTTTGTCCAGATCAAGTAAGATTGTGATGTTTTAAAGTGTAGTGAATGTTGAACAACAATAATCTTGGGCCGTCGGCGATCTTTGTATGTACAGGGGACAAAGCACAAATTCTGATTAATTCAGACATCCAATTCTCACGCGGATTGAATAAAGCTCAACTATACAACCTGTAACTTATTTATCCTCTGCAGTCTGTTAACACTTCTTCCAAACCCACTCGAACTTCCAATCGAGCGAGTACTGTCCGTCAGGCCCCAAGCTTGTGTTCCGGAGCAACGCCTTTGTCCAGTGTCAGGACATCTCAGCAGGCCAGGGTAACCTTCCAAAATTGTGGATAACCTTCCTATAACAATGGAACAGTCTCACTTTCTTTTACTACAATAATATGTCCCACTGATCCATCCCCTCCATCAGCTTCGACAGGTTTTTATAAAGGCTGCTGGTTTGCATCTCTGTGGTCCCTCCGCTCAAAAAAATATACAGCTGTCTTCAGCCTCTTCAGCTCTGTTCGAAATTTATCCCCTCGTCGTCACAGCCTTGCAGTGGGAGAAAGAATAGCCCTCCAACAGTATTACGAATAATTAAGCAATGGCACACTGCATTAACAAAGGTTATTCATGTTCCCTCGCAATAATGCCGTTCCCAAAGGCCCTGACACGCCAAGTCCATGGTCAGCCAACGTCGGGCTGTCAGTTAGCACCGTTGGCACTAATCAGACCCCACTGGGGTTTTTTTATTTTTTTTTGGTCAATTGAGCCATTGTTGCACCGACAATAAGAGAGGTTGGCTGGTTGGCTGTTCAGATTAGCAAACTAATCAGTGTGATTTCCCATTTTTCCCATACAGTATATGTCACGTTGTTAATTTCTTATCTTGATATTGGCAAAGACCTCCAAGCTGGATCAATCAAAGTTTATCTGAGCAGAATCCAATCTTGTCATAAATTAATTCCCAGCAAACCCTCTTCCACAAAAAGCAACTCTAAGACCTCCCTCCTCATTAAAGGTATACAGAGAACCCGACAGAGTCTACACTCCATCAACACTGCCAGTTCACACAATGCAATGTTCAATTTAGCGTTCTTTGGTTTTCTCTGCTGCCCTCAACACATAATCACCTACAAAGCAAGACCTACAAAGCCAAAAAAGGACACTTCAATTACATTTTTTTTTTTTTTACATTTTACATAGAGATGTTTTATCGAGCACAAGTTCAGTATGGCATACCACAAGGCTCAGTACTAGGACCATTACAGTTCACTCTGTACATGCTACCCTTGGGAGATATCATTAGGAAGCATGGCATTAGTTTCCACTGTTATACTGATGATATGGAGCTCTTTATTTCTTCATGCCCTGACAAAACTTACCAATTCACAAAATGTGGAAATTTGGAAATACAAAGTTGGATGATTAGTAATTTCCTACTACTTAATTCTACTTAAAAAACAAAACAGAGATTCTAATTATTGGACAAAAAACTTCCTCATGTAACCTAGAATCCTGTCTAAAACTACTGATGGCTGCTCTGTCAAGTCTTTGTCGTCGGTTAGGAAACTGGGTGTGCTCGCCTCATAAGTGCCGGCATCATCACCACGACAGCCATCGGCACTGATCCTCAACAACTCGTCTCCATACCGGCATAATTACTTTGACTTCCAAATAGAAGGAAATGGACAGATACTCTCAACGTTCCGATCCAATTTGACTTTGAATGCTGCCCGAATCACACTGTTCCTTTGTTGGCCAGAGGAGAACTGGCCCCCGCCTGAGCCTGGTTTCTCCCAAGGTTTTTTTTCTCCATTCTGTCACCTGAATGGTGGAGTTTTGGTTTCTTACCACTGCTGCCTTGGCTTTTGGCTTGCTTAGTTGGGGACATTTAATATTCAACAACATTATTGATCTGTGTGGTATTATTTTCATGTTATCACTGTGAAGCTGCTTTGATACAATCTGTATTGTAAAAAGTGCTATATAAATAAAGATGACTTGACTTGACTTGTGCACTTTGATATCAATATTTGTTTTGAAAGTCAAATGAATATTATCTGTAAAACCAATTTTTTTCATCTTAAAAATATATCTAAATTATGTCATATGCTCTCATTGACAAATGCGGAATGGTTAGTTCATCCGTTCATGACATCAAGGCTAGATTATTGTAATGCTCTACTGGGTGGTGGCCCTGCACACCTAATAAACAAACTGCAGCTGGTCCAAAACGCAGCAGCTCGAGTTCTTATCAGAACCAGGAAGTATGGCTATATTTACCTGGTTCTGTCAACACTGCATTGGCTCCCTATTAAACATTGTATACATTTTAAAATATTGCTGTTTCTTACAAAGGACTAAATGGTTTAGCCCCACTACTTGAGCGAGCTCTTAAGGGGGGGTTGACTGCCTTTTTCTTTGCATGATTGTATTTATGGGGTGCAATATAACATGTATTCGTAGTTTTTCTTTTTTTTAAAAGTCTTATTTTTCATAAACTTCACCTTTATTGTCAGCCGCGCTCTCCTCTGTCCCCTGAACGAGCGGTTCACTTCCTGATTCTATGAAAACACTCCCTCAGAAACACGTAGTGGGCTCAGATTGGTTAGTTTGGCCCAGTGTGTTGTGATTGGCTAAACTGTCGCTCACGTTGTCCGGAAGGTTAATGCCCATTACCTTTACGGGCGAAACGTGCATGTCATGAGCTCCGGTCCAGATGTAAATATGTGTCGAACTGCAGTATCAGTTTCAGGCATAATCAGACCGAGAGAGTCAAGCAGAATCTCACCACATACTACAGCTCTTACTAAAAGTTTCTGAATGATAATTTGCTACATTTTTTAACTTTATAAACGTTTATTTTATACAATAGGTGACTGGCAACAATAGCAACTGACTGGCTACTAATGATATACTCAAACAGTGTTGGCATGTTTACGTTCTTGATCAAATCGAAAATAACGTCATAAAGCATATACATGAAAAATACGTTTAAAACATTAGAACTTATAGAAAATTCAGGTCCATAATGTTTGTACACGTTTTCGTAGACACAAAATAGCATAGGCTAACTAGTAGTGGCTATAAAGCCAGCGCTGGCATTTGAAAAAAATAAAACACAAGGCTACGTCTGGAATTATACATGCAAATACATTTAAAATGAAGAAGTCTTAGCCTACTTACAGGTTGTGGCCCAACAGTGCTGCCTCTTGTTTTAAAGTGGGAACTGCTTCATGTTTTAGTAACAGTTTCTTGTTGAATCCGGTGTTGAACTCGTGGAGATTCTGGAAGCTGTCTTCCATAAAATGCGCAGCACAGAGAGCTAGATTACAATCGTCATTTTCAGGAACATAATCAAACATAAATTGTATCCATTTTTGAGGAAGTACAGCGTCCATGGGAAGCCCGAACACAGAAGACCTGACAGCTGTGTGGACAACACACTCGACGAGTCGATGTTGCCTTAGAAATATGCGCATGGCATTTTCTGCATATTCTGAGGGAGGGGTTGATGTAAATGTGTGGGTTAGTGACGTACCATAACCCAACCCTAGCCTATAGTTATTATAGGCTACAAGCCAATGTCTTCGTAAATTATCTTTTTAACTGTTAGGCCTACTTCATTATTCATGTCTGACTGCATGTATTATGTTGTAGAAGAAAACACAAATTACTTCTTGTAATGTTAACCACAGGCATTAATTCTACTCATAAATTCAAAACACGCTATTCTAAAAACACACAGGATATTCTTAACCCATGAACCCATGGCTCAAAAATGCTGAATCTCCTCCTGGTTTTACAGCTAGAAACTCATTCTAATGCGACCTGCATTACAATCATGTAATCAAATTAAATCCCAATGAAGTTAATTCTATGTAACCCAGCATGTGGTTTCTCAAAAACACTGTTTTGTTTATGTTGCTGCAGTTGCATTGGGAGTCATGCTGACCAGTGGCTGTGCCACAGCCCGACACTGCCACACGGAGGAGCTGCCGGGAGTCAACATCCACTGCTGCGCCTCTGATCTGTGCAACAGTGCCACCCGCTGGAGAACAACCACACTGATGCCTATGTGCTCATTGACGTTTGCTCTGTTGCTTCAAAGTGGGATACTGTCGACGAAATGACTTAGAACTTCAAACTCAACGGCAAAATCACGGCAGCTACGCTTGGATTTAAGACATAAAGGAGTGTACCTTGAAAATATAATCATCCAATATCTGTGTGAACACAGTCTCTGGAGTAGCCTATTGTGTGTGTGTGTGTTCATGTTTATATTACATTGTGTGGACCAAACAACCAGTATAGTAAAACCTGAAAGCACCTACATTGTGGGGACCAGCCAGCGGTCCCCATGATGTAAACAGCGTATAAATCATACTAAGTAATGTTTTTTGAAAATGTTAAAATGCAGAATGTTTGTTTGAGTGTGTGTGTGTGTGCGATACATCTCAAAATCAGTGGGCCGTGAAAATGACGCTGACCTTTTCTCGTTTATTTATTTATTTTATTTTATTTTCAATGTGAATTTTGGACGTATGACGTCCGTTCTCCTCACGTTCCCACAGGTTTTGTCATCACATTGACTTTGAACATGATGCACTAACGTTTGACAATCAAGAAAGTGCTGATAAACGTATTGTCTTAATTTTGAATATTTATATAAGACATCTATTGCACTGAAAATTATTTTTGTTTAAAGATGTAAATAGCATTCCATAAGCAAATACATGTCTTACCTTGATCACATATTAAGTGCATTGTCTTGATTTTCATCATGTCCGTAAACAGAAAAGAAGGCCTGGCTAATAGCCTATGCATATTATGCTGTATGACAGTGCTGTATAATTGCTGAACCATATGAATTCTTGGCTGAGAGAAGTGATCTCTAATTTATCTCTAAAGGATGTCTTAAGAGGGCTCAGATCTACAGAAGATGGCAGTGTTTCACAATCTCTTGACACAGGCTTAAATGTTCAACCTGACAAAATTTGACACTGAAGATTTGTTGTGGTGCGTTTCACAATCTCAGTCCACTGTATTCATCGTAATTAGAGTCATGAAACATGCCTGACTAGAGCAATATTTTACTGGGATTCATTCTTTGCTAGAAATTGTTTGAAACATATGCACTGTGATTCATCACATTGGTCCTTTGAAGGCGACAGATTCTGAGAACAGTTTAAGAGCAATAGTCTTTCTTATGGTGAAAGCTCTTATGAAAATAAACGGAAAGAGATCCACAGAGGCTCATGGCTCTGTTTTGATTTGTTTAATCCAGCCTTTGAGAAAACACAGGCACTGAGGAACATCTCTCATTGAGTAGAAGAAAGAAGTGTTTCATCTTTTAACTCTCCTCATGATTCAACCAGAAATTAGCAGAGAGAGAATGCAGAAACAGGTTTCAGAGCTGGTGTGTGAAATAAGGCAGTCTAGTAAATGCTACTTTTAAACTCTCAAAGCTTTGCACTGCCTTTGAATAACAGAGCTAATGAGAGCTATAGCACAAGTGGCAACAGCACCGTCAACTCCTGTCTTTAACTTCTGCTGTCACATGTCCCTGACACTGAAATGACTTCTTCCACAATTGGTTGCACTGAATTTGGTGAAATTCTATAAATCATTTGGTGCTTCTGAGTGATTAGTTTCAGTTTGTTCAGTGATGTCAGACCACAAATGAGCCAAAGCAAGAATCAAGTAATGAATGGCAAATGACAAATGATTAAATATTTATCCAATTTAACATACAAAATGCTTCACCAGTCAGCATGCACATTTCACTGTGGATGAAATTAATGTTTCATTGATGCAGTGGTCCATGCACAAAACCCACTGCTGATCCTACTGTGTTCTGAGCGGTTGTCAGGTCATTATTGTTTGGTTGCTAAGATGTTCTGAGTGGTTGAAAGGCAGAGGTATACTTGAAAACCATACTTGAGTAAAAGTACAGATCTCTTATAGAAAAACTGACATCACAAGTCACGTCACCAATTCTAATATGACTTAAATTACAAACAAAAGTCTTACCCCACTGTGTAAAGTCCGAGACTAAAATGCATGTTTGAGCTGTTTTAACTGAAAGCAACATCTACTGACTTATATGTCAGTATTGTTTTGTCTCAAGACGCACATCACCAGTAGCCTAATCTTTTTTTTTTTTTTCTTTTAAATAGGCCTACCTTAACTGTACTAAGGCCTAATCCTGGCTTAATCTAAGCCCTGTGTGTGAAACCTGGTTTTATAGTATATGATTTTAACAGTACGCCTACTTAACTATTTTACATGTTTATTTTCTAAAATCAAAATAGCCTAGCCCTACACCTTAAAATTACAATAAATCAAGGTTGACATATCTTAAAGAGGTTATTTTGTTTTTGGGATGAACAAGAATGTTTTCATGCTTAATTATTCCAAAAAACACATTATTTTTCACGTTACATTATTACAGCTCCTCTGTTTCAAACTTTCGAACGCGTTGTTTTCAACAAAACCCGTCCTTCCGATACGAAATGTGCTTTGATTTCTAAGTTGGCCCAGTGTGTGGTGATTGGCAGCGCTTAGAGCATGTTCGGGAAATGCCACTTTATGAGCGAGCTCTACTGAGATGTAATGATGGTGTCAATTTCAAACCAATTCAAGATAGATTTGCAGAACAGATTTCAAGTACGGACTTTGCAAGTAGCTCTATGGATTTCACAGGCCGTTTCAGATTGCTATGTTGTTTTTGTAATTTTCTTTTAGATATAGGCTAGCCTAGGCTACGATATTATCCACAATTTAATCATATTTGTCGGAAAACTATGGTACAAACAGTAATCCATCACAAAATTATGGCTACTTATTAGTGTTCCAATTTTCAAAAGTGGCCGTGAACGGTCTTACAAAAGCTAGCTAGGTCTATTCTACAAACAAGTCTCAGTTAAGCTCAAGTGTTCAAATGGGCATAGATAAACCAATTTCCTTCCACAAGCTATCTTCAATATACTGGTAAATAAAATAGTCAAAACCTACTTGCACTGATGTGCTGGTTTCAGTCTCATCGCTGGCTGTCCTCATCTCAAATTTCCTGCTAATGCACTCATATTCATGTAAAGTAGACTTGGGTGTCTGTCAAAACACACAATAGTTCATTCGATGCCCTGTAGATGGCGCTATCACTTCTTTTGTAGCAGAAATAAACTCCTGCAGAAAAGTTAGGTACCCCGTGCAAAAGAGTGCCGAAGTGATGACGTCACTTTGTAGGACAACTCGGAAGCTAGCGCCGCATGGGTTCCCTCGGTCGAAAAGCAATGCATTTTCTCCATAGAGTTTTGGAAAATCGCAAAAAAATTAGATTGTTTAACAAAGAGTAGTGACACTTACACGTTTTGTCTATCAAGATAATCTTTACAAGTTAATCCAAAATTTATACATTTTGAAGCCTATAGGCCTATAAAGTTTTTAAAAAACACAATCAAACACAATAAAGTTTAAAAAAAAACACACACACAAGCAGGTTATAACTGTGTGTTCTATATAGATCAAAACGTGAAAATATTTAGAGGCTTTGTTCACCACAGACCTTATTTCAGGCGATTTAGCAAAAAACCCATTCAAAAATCCCATAGACTTTAGAGCGCGGCAACCCGGTAGTAATTTATCTAGTGCTAAAATGCTAACTCACTTCCACGTTTTGGCCTACAGAGTGACGTTGTAACTTCGGCACTCTATTGTGGGCTGGGTGATAACAGTTTTGGTATTAATCGACGTTACACCATTGTTGGTAACATTACAAACATGATTTCTAGCAATACTTTCATTAAAATGCACATGCATCGCCCATAGGCTAATCGTAGATCTTAGTCGGTTCATATACCTCGTCTAAAAACGTGTGAAAAAAGTGGCTGTGCCGTTGTCTTCCTCTTTCCAAAGCGCTCCCGTGGCGTCGGTCGATGATACAGTCAGCAACGCGTCAGAGTTGGGGGGCGTGGTCGCCGTGGGGGAAAGCAGCGACACCATCGTATAAATTTGAATGACAAAAATGTCATATTGCGAGTCACTGACGCCTGCCGACCGGCAACGGTACATTGCAAAATGAACTGTAGCCTAATAGGTTATGATTGTCCTTATTTAATTAAAAATTGGGACTGCGTATGAGTTACTATACAGTAAGTCCATAAAACCTTGTCACTTACCAATTGTATGTATGCTTCACTCTAAACTATTAATGCTTTTGTAAAATGGTGATCAGTAGTAGAGCTACGAAGTTGCAGAAGGACTGCTGACAGTTAACCGAATTCTCAGTATTGAGCTGATAACCTTCAGCTGATAACGTTAATGTGAATGAGACATCCATATGAAAAACAACTATAGGAATATTGTAGTGTTTTAGGACAAAATATTATAGTAACATTAATCCTATTGGAATACTATAGCTAGTATTTTGGGACATAGCCTAGCCCAAGAAGTGCATGGGTATTACAGAAGAATCACAGAAGAATTGTACACTAGACTATCCATAGCATTGCTAGGCTATAGTTCTTTTTTTCATTAGGGATCTGGCCCACTGCCTACATATCACACAGGGATCTACTCATCTACTCACACAGTAGCTCATCTAATAAGTTATGATTAATTTTGCCATTTTGTCCTGCTATCCGGTTTGGTATGTTTATTAGGAAGGATGTAGAACTTCAATTTATAATTTGTTAGTTTATTGGTGGTACAGAAAACGACACAGCAACTCTTCGGCATGATTGTCGCATGTATTTCAATGAGTGCCAAGGCCATGTTTTCCCCCACGGGCTAAATACATATCTCGTGACGGGGCGTTCCCAGACCAACCGACTGTATCTATGCAACCATGAATGTGCACTCCACATGATGTTGACTGATGATGCGTTCAATTCGACCATGATTCATGGACTGCGAAGTTCAAGATGGAACAGTGTTGCCCAATATCAAATGACAAACATAATGAAAGCATAATAAAACTAAAAGTTCCAAGATCTAGGAAAATTCAAACTTATTTAAAAGACATTTTTTTTAAATAAATAGTAATACATTTTTATTTTTTTTTAAATCAAATAAATTTCTCTGCCATTTATTTCTTTTTCGGAAACAAACCGTGACAACACTGTGTCGTATCGAATCGATCTGTGAATTTTTTTAACCATTACACCCCTACTTATTCCAGATGTTGATCTACCTCATTTGCTTTGATTAATATTGTTTAGGCCTACACTTTTACATTGCACACATTTTGTAACATTTTATTTAAGTTCAAAAGCTTCTTTAACACTTACACTTACTCAGTAAGACGTAAGGATATTTTTGTTTACATTTTATTTAGTTTTTGACTGCTAAAACTGTTTGCCTTAATAATGTGGATAAATAAATAAAACAGTGGTTTAAATTCAAACTTGTCTACTTGTCTTTAAAAAATGTCTATAATTATCGATACCGAACGATATGAAACATATCGAGATGATTTTTTTTAGCTATATATCGCACTAATTCAATTGTTGCTTTACTCATCACAAATGTATTGGAATAAAGAGTACTTTTTCAAAAATATTGTCAATAAGTGAGTAAAGTTTGCTAAAATCTTTGATACAGTAAAACTAAAAAGTAGCCAAAAGATGCAGTCACTAATTACATTTACTCAAAAACTTTACACCGAGTTGAAATGTGATTTCTTACTGGCCTAAAGCTAAGTTCACACTAGACTTTGAGCATGCAAAATTTCTTTGGACAATCTATGATGGCTTTTTAAAAAACATAATTAAACATGCATAACAAATGTAATAAATCTAAATTTACAGGTTTAGTTCTCCTAAAATAAACATTATGTTTTTAATTACCCACTTTAATATTGTCAAACATAACACTTTCAATAATCTTTAAAACAGAAAGAAAAAATGAAACCTGAGAAATTTCTGTTCCTCCAAAGAAAGTATGTTCAACTATAACTGTGTAGCTTCAAAATATTCATAAAGATTGCAAAAGAAATCCATACAAATCGACTTGTTTAATCTAAATCATTATCACTTTATATGAACAGATTTATTTTGGTAATGTATATTTTTAGTAAATTTTATTCACGTATAATCACTGATCTATTTGATACCTCATCAAAGATGGTAAACGAGAGCTAAAACGTTGATTCATATGGACCTTTTGAAGCATCAACATTTTGGTGAAATGGATTTTCTATGGAGGAACATAAATCCCTCAGGTTTCAATAAAAATATTTTG